ACGTCCAAAGTTTTGGTTGAGTCTCCATACGATGGCCGACATAAAAAGATATATGAGAATGAACGTTTTACCCTTATGAAACGCCTCAATATGGATCTGTTGATGTCAAGTTTTTGTAAAAGGCTCATGAAGATGAGTCCTTGCTTTGCAATTACATCTTTGAATGAGTATTCGAACAAAGACAGAAATTAGTACAGCAAATGTAGGTACATACTGTTTGCTTTGAGTTGATATTTATTCATTTTAGACGGAGCGATAAAACGTTGTAATCTCCTTTTTTTTTTAGAAACTTCAAGTAAGTCTCCCATATAGACATTATCAAGTATATTTTGATTACGACTTTCTTCGTGCGATCCTTGATTACTTTCACGGCACGTTTCATTTCTGGAATTTGAATAAAATATCGAAGGTCGTCCTTGTGCATTACTCAGTGGCACCAACTTTCTCCGTTCGGTAAAAATGTCGCAATTCTCAAGCACCTAAATGAGTCTGCAGTTTTGTTCATTTTTACAGCAGGTATTTTGATCTCTAGGGAATCATTCGAAAATTACCGTAACACTATCAGAAGTGATAATTTGAAGCTGGCATCTCTCCAAACTGAGCAGTGACTTGGTAAAACCTTATCGCACATTCAGGCACAACTCACCACACGCGAAGCAGGAACAACAAGCTGGGATGTCTCAGCTGTTTGGTTTTGTCTAGTAGGCAGTAGCTAATTTCCTAAAAAGTTTTTAAACTAAATGCGACATTACTTTGTCTTACTTTCTTTTCAGCTCTGACTGTTAAAATGTTTGTCATACGCAGGAATCTCCATGGAGTCGTGTTTGATCCGCCGCGAGGAACACCTTCCTTAATGTCCCTGATCATTTCATGCCTGAAAACTACACTTGGGCACAAACTAGAGCTCAACTTACTGTCACAACACACAAAGTGTTTAGCCAGGCTTGCGAAACATTTCTGGGAAACGCACGTTTATATACCTTTCCACAGCAGTGCTGTGAAAACGTATATAAACGTGAACAAAGAAATCCAGATATATTAGAAAAAAAATCAATAAAATCAGATTTATTTTATTTTAATCGGGTTTATATGACTTAAATCATATTAATTTGATTAAAATCACTGTGGTTAAAAATAATGATTCTTTACCACTAGATATTTCTCAACATAGTAGGTTGATTGTTCAGTTCGTCCTGATCACTGATAACAATGCGGAATAAAATATTGCTGTAAGTGTGAAGTACGGTTTAATTAACAACTTTTTAATGTAATCCCAGCCATACTAAAACAAAAACAGCTTGACTTTTCTAGTTAATTAAAAGCTGTAAACGATATTTTTTGTTCTCAGATTTGTTGCAATAGGACATTACTTTTCTAGCTTTTGTTTCTTTTGCGTTCGGATTTTGTTGCAGTAAGATGTTACATAGCTGACGAGCAAAGCGGAAATAAAGATCAGGCTCGAATCACCGGTTTCCTTTGAAGAGCACTTCTCTTTACTTGTGTTCAGCCTTTTATAAACTTTTCTCGCCTTGATGAACTTTTTATTTAAATACAAAACAACTACGCATCGGAACGAATTCAATATTGAACGAACGGTAAAAACAAATATTTTCGTGATAATTTCTGCGATAAAGGGTTGATTCAAATCATGATACTAAAACTGGGTTGATTTAAACCATGATTTAAATCAAAATTTAAACTATACATATATTTTTTTTTTATTTTTCAGACTGCTGATTTTAGCAGATCCACGTCAACGTGCTTTTTCACGAAATAAACGAAAACGTTCATTTCGATGTCTTTTTCTTATGTCGGTCATCGTAAGGGGACTTGATCAAGTCTGTAAACGACAGTCACTGATTGAGCTAGACACATGCAACTTCGAATGCAAAATGCTCGTGAAGAGGACTGGAATGATAGCTGCAACACAAAGACTGCCGGTTGCATAACTCGTCTTTTGGTTTTAACACCGGAGAAACAGAGACGAAGTGAGAGATAAATAAATATTATATATACTAACTGAGATAAATAAAAATATCCAGCCCCGCTCAACTCTGCCCCCCCCCCTAAAAAATAAAAAAAAAACAAAAAAAAAAACACCGCAGCAAGTGGAGCGTGGAACAGCGGAGCGGTAGGGGCAAACATTTTTTTCTAATGGTGGCACTTCCACACAACTCTCTCCCCTCCCCTCTCTCCACCGCCAATTTCCGTCTCCCCTTCACCTCACAAATACTTTTGAACCCGCTGCTCTCAGCATTTTAAGGATAAAAAAAACCTTTCAGTAAAGCGAACTTTCGAAACTACCCTTTTGCTGATTCGGGTGAATGTAACTTCGTTTGAGCACTTCTACAGAAAATAAACTCAAAAAAGGGGGAACTTTGATTATGCTCAAAGAAAGTTAACATTACTAGGAGAACTAAAAAAAAAGGAAAAAAAACAACATTATATTTATTTAAGCGGTTGCAAACTACGTTTAGCTTTATTTTTTTGACAAAATTTGAAACTGCATATCAAATATTTCTAGAATATAAAGTACAATAAAGTTGTAGCAGTCGATTGAAAATCTATAGCCCTACAGGTGTGCAGTATTTAATAAGCAAAATGAATAATGAACCCTGGGATACAAGGCTCCAAATATGTCCCCAAAACGGCAAAGATGCGATGCTGGGCTTTTTTTTTATTTCTGGCATGTGCTAAGTTAGTTTAGTATAAAGGCCCGTTCACACTCTTGCGACCTCTTAAAACTGGGTTCCTTAAAACCTCTTACAACGAGAGGGTACAATGGGGCCATCTATTAGGTAGCAGTGTAAACTTGGCGGTCCGGTATAGTTTCTATTTTCTCTCGAGCATTATCCTTAATTACTTGGCTCGAAAAACTTTTGTGAACATTATAAACGGGCCTTCCTTATAGGTATTACGCACATTTGACCTCGGAAATATCGCAAAACCTTCGCTCTTGTGAAATGCAGGTCCAGGGTCACCACATAGATGGCGCCAGCGTGCCAGTGTGTTCTCTCGTCCTAAGAAATTTAAGAGGTTTTAACAATTCTCGGTCTCTCTCGGTCGTACTCGGTTGCAAGAGTGTGAACGGGCCTTAAAGTAAAACATGGCACATGCATCATATCTTTACAAGAAAGAAATACTGTGAGAGTTTTGGTCACTCTCTATTTACAACAACCGACAGAACTGGGTACAGAAATCAAGCAGCCTAAATGTTACATTTCCCCTTCCGGCACTTGATACTATTTAAAAAATAAACGTTTCTAAGAATAAATAAATAAGTAAAAAAAACATAAAAAAGGAAATGTCGCTTATTGCTGAGGTGCGGCTATAATATTTAAAGGGGCGATGCAACAATTTCTGTACTTTGCACGAATACCGCTTAGAACGGATCCCTGACATTAATGACCTATGAAACACGCGTTCGTTTTTCCTTCCACGCAATAGAAGTCCCAGAAAAAAAAAAAATTAAAGAAAAACGAGCAGCGGATCCCTGACATTAATGACCCCTCAACTCGCAGCCAGAACAAGCGGCCACGTGATCTGGAGCCGATTATATGCCGCCAATGTAGATCATAGCCACGCGCTGGGGTTGGCAAAGCACAGGGCACGGGCTGAGTTCCAGATATTGTTATGGCTCGGCTATTGTCGTCGTTGCAGCGATTGGATACGGGCCACTACCCGAATGCTTCTCGAGCTAGTAATTATCACGAGCCCAAATCGAGTGCCCACGCAATGCTCGGGTCCAATCTACGAACAGCATTCAAATATCGTCATATGGGTGTACTACGATACCCACGTTACGTCATGAAATTTTGCAAAGGAGAGATTGAATGAAAATGATCGCTTTTGTCCTTGAAATTACACCGCAACAAGGGAGTTTCTTGGCCAGCGGAGTTGCGTGCGAGTATCCTTGACTCCCACTAGTGCCAGTAAGCTCGTGTATAGTGAAAAACATTCCAACTGAATATCGTTGCACAGCTCCTTTAACTTTTTGAGGCAAATCAAGATACCTATCCCGTCACACGTGTTCGCTTTCAAATGAAACCACCCAGATGATTTTGAAATGAATGAATACGTATATAGCTGCAATATAGTCCTATATCCGTCTATCTGCGCAGGAATAAGGTAGAAACTCTTAGTGCTTGTTAAATCAGCACTCCTCTGCTCTGCGGTCTCTTCTGCTCGTGGCTTCTTTGCCTTTGTATGTGCGAGCGTGCGTGTATGTTTGTGTGTTAGTGCGTTTTTGCGGTAGTTGTTGATGCTAGGCCTCGTTTTTGAAATAAATTTCAGTTGTCAATCAGCGGTAGTCTTTCTGCATTCCTTTTCACATGTCTTGATGTTTCCGTGCGCGGTCTTGTTATCGTTAAATAAATAGCCTTTGACATATAGATATAGATAGTGAATCAGGGGCGAATCTAGAGCCTGAAGACACCTTTTCACGTGATCCAGAAAAAAACAAGACGCAGAAAAGAATAATACCGCGTAAAAATTGCCTAATGTGAAAAAAAAAGAAAGAAAGCGCTTTTACTTTGGGGAGGTTCCTTATCGACAAGGCACAGTTCAAGTATAGAGCCGAATAGAATTGGCCGACACAAAAGCGTATGATTCGAATAAATGAAAGCAGCTGAACGTGGTTTACTCTGTTCACTCTTGGTGCCTTCTAACACCTTCTTCGGCGTTCTTATTTTTCATTTTTATTGATATTGATTGACACTTTTTATTTTGACACAAGTGTCAAGGCAAATGCCGCTCACTCATTGGCTGCGGAGCTATATTACGATGCTCGGGAAACACAACTCCCCGAGCTTCGTAGGTTGTCAGTGACTAACAACAACAACAACAAATACACACAACAAACAACAGACAGCGACGGCGACCACGACGACAACGACAGCAACAACCAAAATATACCGAGCATCAAACACAGGCCTTACACATAGATACACTCAATTGCTGCAGTTTCATGACGCACGACCGTGCTCTCAGTTCTCACTCACCCCGTGTGATACCAGTTGTCTCGGATGGCCTCTCTCTTCTTGCCTTCCTCCCCGAGGTAACCCATGAAGACGTGGTAGCCTCGGGTGCACAGCTCTCCTACTTTGTTGACGGGAACGATGTCGCCCCGAGTGTCCACAATCTTCACCTGTGTCGCAGCAAGCGAGACAAGAATCTAAGACCCCCCTTCTCTCGCGGCGCTCTTCCTGTTAAAAAAGTTATTAGGGATATATGTTTTGGACAGCTCTCAGGCTCTATTTGCAGACGGTTTCTGAGTACGTCGTTAAGCTAAGCGATAATTACTGACTGGATATATATTTTATATATATCAGTCAAATCGTATTGTAATGTCTTGAGGCAGATGAAACGTTATGGTATATCAGATCAAGCAATGGCAAGTTGATCGTGTGTGTGTAAATGAGAGTTCTTGCGCATGTTACTAAGTGAAGAACGAGCTTACGGATACGATTATTTCCTTTATTTATAAGCTAGAGACAGAGCCATTTTAGGTCGTTCTTTTATATTTTGTTTAGGCCAAAAAGCTTTTTGTCAAGTGAATAGAACCGGATTCTCGCGGCTTCGGAGCTTCATCCGCCATTAATACGGTGTCATAGAGATCATAAATGATGTATTCCTTCCGATAACGAACGTTCACAAATACCAACTGTAGTCAAGTTATTTTAGAAAAAAAGACACTACGTGGCTCATCTATTGTAACAGAAGTGACAATAGCATAGGACAACTGAAAGCCTTATAACTCTATAGTGATACCTAATGTTCACGAACTCGTCGCATCACAACGTTTATCGAACACTGATAACAATAACGATAAGTAATAGTAACATTTATTATCTCTATACCACTGTTTAACCCACGCAGACAAAAATAATAACTTACATCGTGTAAATGTATTAAATTCCTTTACACGCGTTAGACCTACCCCATAATGTTTGCTGAACCTTAAATTTGGAATGACTGAACGAGCCATGGGGGGGGGGGGGGGGGGGGTACGTCTAATAAAATGGCGGAGGGTATATTCATTTCTACCTGAAGTCATATCTTCCAACGAAAAAACGGAAGTCGGAAATAGAAATAATAAATTGTGGCTCAAACGTAGAAATGGAAGAGACAGCTCAACCTCTGTGTGGTCCAAGGGCACTCCAACCGTCTCAATCCACTTTTCTATGGGTTCGTCAGGATCGATGCCGCTGATGGCGGGACTAGTCTCGGTGGCGCCGTACATCACCTGAAAAATATCGTGTCAACATCTTAAAAAAAAAAAAAAAAAGAAACGGCGCTTGATTGGTTGTTTTACGACAAAGAACATACATGGAACCGTTGGATGTTCAACCTTTTCCTTGCATTCTTCACCAGTTCAGAAGGACACGGAGACCCAGACATGATTCCTGTTGGAGAAATAGCAGACCACTGAAGACGTAGCTCATACCTGCGCTGTGGACGTTGTTGGTAAAACAGGCTCTTAGTAGACACTATTCCAGAAGTACACGCTTTGCTAGCAGGAGCTCGTGCCGTCACTCCGAGACACGAATGAACCATTCGCAAAACGTACAGCGCCACGACGGCCGGAGATTTTGGGAACCCTCGGTAAAGATCAACGCGTTTTGCCGTTGCGCCTCCGCGACCACGTGTGAGTCGCGGCAGCTACCGCCAGCAGCCATGGTTGTGATTATGAAACTAAACCAAAACGATACCTGTGGCAGCGTAAACGCATCGCCGACAGGGGAAGCTATTCACTTATTTCAATACGTTATTCGTCGTAACTTACCTTCACGTCTTGCAGTGTCACCGAATCCACTTATTTGGCGCCGCAACCGTGGCAGGGTTCGGCTAGGTTCGGCAAAGCGTTGGCGTAGCAAACGACGGAGCCGGTACAAAGGAGAGGGATGAGAAAAGGGCAGCCTCGCAAGCTAGCCAACGCGATACCCCTTTTCCCTATTTTCTGTGCGCTCGTCTATCCGACCTGGCTGCTCGAGCGTCGTTGCCTTGGTAACCTGCGCCTGCTAGCGTATATCACGTGGGAGCGGGAGGAAAGACGATGGGAGGGGCGTACAAAGGACTCCCATGATCCGTCGCGCGGCGCGCGGGCTTTCGGGGTTTTTGCGAAGGATCTATTGAGCACGCGCCCGCTAGGCCCGCTCTCCGCAGCGTTCGGTCGAAAACGGTCTGCTAAAACTCTATATGATTATCCGCATATGCACGCGAACATGATTACGATAACGCTATGGCAGTACCGTAATTTTTGAAACTATAGTCCGCGCGCGGCGGTCTGGTAAGGTAAATTTGGAGAAAAAAAAATAAGTTTTTGCTTGGATAGCTTCGCTCCAGCTGCATAGTCCGCATGCCATGCATAGTCCGCACTTAGTGCCTATTTTGAACGTAAAGCGATTATTATACGCAGCACACGTTGACAGTTGCCCACTGTACCAACTCGAAAATAATTTTTTTATCATACATTAACAAACAATAATACACTCCGTTATTCATAAAATATCACGTCTTATCGCACATAAACGACCTAGAAAAACGCACATCCTCGTATATTTTGCAGCGGGCAAAAGTAAAAATTTTGGACACGTATAGTCCGCTGACTAGAGTCCGGTAAATACAGTACGCCCTCTGCGCGCCTCCCGCACGGTGTATCATGCCGGGTGGTTCGGAAGCGTCCGCCAAACGACGAGGCGCGAAAGTTGGGCTCAAATCTCACTTGCCTTATTTATCCAAGTTCGGACGGTTCCATATCAAGAATGGGGTACCAAACATGCGAACATTATTCATATTCACTCAGAAAAAAAGAAAGTAGGGCGTAACGAGTTCTTAGCACCTTCTCATCGCTCCAGAGCCAATGGGCATTAGCCGATAAGGACGACGAGACACAAATCCTAGAAATGGAACAAAATGAGCCGCGCCCCACTCAAATGGAAAGACATAGCTCATGCACCTTTTCGGACGGACGAGAGGTCGTAGTGTCCCCGTTCCAACTGAGCCAGCATGTCAATGAACATGGTCGGTGTTCCGTAAATAAAGGTGCACCTGAAACGAAGGTCCGAGAATACGGTCATTGTCGTCGTTCTTTGTCACGCCTTAACATCCGTAAAAAAAGAAAAATGAAAGCCGTTCACAGCTGCCTCTAACACCGAATTAGAGCGCAGCTCTTGAGGAGGAGGAAGGAAGGCTACTGAGGGGAGGGTATACCCCTCGTCCCTCCTCATCCTGCCTGCTACTCCTGCCTCCGAGCGGCGTCGGCGTCGGCGTAACCCTGAGGTCACGTGACCCCCGGGACGTCGCGTGACCCTCATGACCTAAGGGGGGTCACGTGACCCTCTTGAGCTCACGTGACCCCCCTCAGGGCCACCCTCAGGGGGGGTCACGAAAACGTATTTGCACGGTGCCGAAACGTCACCATGCCGAAACGCCGGCGCGGTTACGCCGACGGTAACGGCGACGCCGCTCGAGCCGGAAAGAGGCGCCTAAGAGCTGCGCATTAAAGCATGCTCATGCATCTGCTGTGCTATTAGCCCCGAGAGCGAACACAAGCGTCGCTGCGGTCGCCGCGCCCTGATTGGGTGAGGTGTACCGTGACGTCAGGGGGAGGACTCCGCTCCGCGATCTCGCATCGGCTCGCTTCCCAGCACCGGTTTCCTGGTTTGGCGTTGTGTGCCGCAAGCTCTTCGAGGAGCTGGACTTCGTTTACCCGGTGTACAAGACGTTGAGTTAGGCCGATATTGACGTGCTTCCGTACATTTTATAAGCCTGCTCGCCCCTTTTACCTTTAAAATTGGGTTACGAATCCCGAAAGCTATCGGAGGAGGCAATTCCGCCGATGAACCTCCCCGTCCGTCCACACAACACAAGGCAATCTTGCGAGGGGTCGGTGAAGTGGTGGCGCAAGTGTTTCAGACGCTGGAATTCTGTTCCTTGACTGTTCATGATTTAGGACGATATTACATCCCGCTTTCAAGGCATTTGAAGTGGCATTTATATCATGGGCCTTTGGGTGGTCGGCAAATTAGCTCGCGACCCCGACTCTGCGCTTCCACTCTGCATGTGCTGGTTCGCAGATGTTTTAAAGGCCCTGCGTCTGATGATCTTTGAAGTGCTCGTGGAACAGGGCTGTTTTACATAAATGTAGCATCTTCGTGAATTAATTATATAGTTTATACACGTATGCAGGCATATTTCTTAGGAGATGCACAATTACTGAAAATTAGTTTGTATGGTAGCAGCAAAAACGGCCGAATTCCCCCAGTTGGCTGTATGAGATGTATTGAACTGCCCACAAGATGCACAGCAATAGTGCTGTAATTTGGAATGTTAATACTTTTTCCTGACATTCTTTATTCCAGCCTTGGGTATTAAAAAATACACGGTTTAGTCTGAATTGTCATTTCCAATTAAAACAGACTGCTACAGGTCCCCAAAAGCTTCCTCAGCCTTCAAACTCCCTACAGCTGGACACAACGGAGCAAAACAGGAGTAAAAGCAAGCATTCGAACGTCTGTCCAGCGGTAGATGCAGCACTAGTAGCAGAAAATGTGGAACCTGTGAAGGGCGACAGTCTGCGTGAGAAAAGCTTCTGGTATTTTAGCTTCAGGACACTTCGATTTAAGTAAAATCTCAATTTTAGGGCTTAAGGGACTAATAACGAGCTAGACACCTTCGCTTACGTTTGTTATACATTACTTGAGGGTTGATATAAACAAGTCCACAAATATCACCCGTGTAGTCCTTTGAAAAACTATCCGAATCCAGCAAAGGTTAAATGCGAGCAATGTATATAATAAATGTTCCTTGTTTTTTTTTTTACTTTGCTCCTGCACTTGGGCTGTCTTACTTGTGATTCTCTACCCATGGCCCAGACTGTATTTAGCATGTTGCTCGAGGAGCATGCAGCTTTTCTGCTTCGACGATCTTGTTTAAAAACAGAGATACAAAAGAAAAATAGTATACATAACCTGCCAATTCATTCAGACTATCAACAGTATTTATTGTGCGAGATGTAAATCTATAATGATGCTCGTGCAATTGGGGCCATATTTCTTTATTTTCATATACCAGCTGCGATTCATGCGTTGCCTGCCCTGTCAACATGCTTAAAATGTTGGTTGAAGTTTCGCCTGTAGCTACAGGCCATACCTAAATAAAGGCTCATATAAAAATTTACACTTCCTACGGAAAACACGCCTAAAAAAATTAAATAGAAACGAGCGCGCCGACAGCTAGCGTCTTCACAGCCTCCACAGGGTGAGCGGGGCGAGTCGGGGAAAAATTCTCTCCTCGCCGTGACGTCACCCCGGTTCGCCGTAAGGGGGTGCCACGCGAACTTCTCGGGGCTAATACCGTAAATGCAGCGGGAGTAACGCATTAGGTTTGGAGCGGGCCTTTGGGATAATATTTTAGGCTCTCGTGCGGCACAGAGCGGTGGCGGAAGCTGCGGCGCCCGACGTCGCAGCGGCGAAGTCGCAAGAAATATGGCACCGTGTGATTGAGGTTCTGGGGTAAGCACAAAATCTATGTGTTTTCGTGTTTTGCTGAGTCAGGGCAAACTCTTAACATTTTTCTGGGTAAACTTCAAGGTTTATTTGTGCGAATTCTAACATTTATGGCGGCGAAGTTCAACATTTATAAGGACAAAGTCCAGCATTTATGGGGACAAACTTCAACATCTATCGCCTCGGTCGTTGCTCCAGGGGAGCGGACTACGACACGTAGTTTGAATGACACCTTTTTATTACAGTGTACTAGAATACTTGGGTAGTGTTGGGACCAGAGGGGCTCGCCTGAAGCGCGTGGTAGAAATCCAGAAGGTGTGCGCATGCACGGCTGCACACGCGAAAATATGAATCTTTGGTGCTGCTTTGGTGGAGCGCATATAGGATTTCTGATACAGCTACGACCTGCCAGCGGTCGTACCGCGGCATCAATTACGCTACGGCACGATCGTTAGCAACACGATGCTTCAATGTATTGGACAGCACAAGCTACATTACCCTTCCTTTACACAAAAACAATTGCGACTTTAAAGAAGCGGATTGCACGTTGTTTCAGTGTAGAATTAGCTGCGGCTTTCGGTTTGTCGAATGGTGAGCATCTTAAATGGAATGCCCATTTCCTTGGTTGCAAAGGCCGAACATTAGATATTTGAAATTTGATTAGATATCTAAAACTCGGAAGCAGTTTTTTTTCCCTATCTTATTTTATAATGGAACGAAACGGCACATACTAAAGTTCGAGATTGTTTAAGTATGTTTTTAATATCCCAGGTTAACTTCTCTGTCCTCTTTTCTGCCCGTCTTCTTTTTCTTGACCTTAATAAGCGTGCTTCACTTGTCATTCATTCTTGTGTTCATTTATGTGACGAACCACCCAAGCGACGGTCGCAAAGGGGTGAAAATCTTTTAGTTCTTCGGACCACCTGACGTTCACTTGTAAGAAATGGCTTATAAGCCGTGACAATTTTTATCAGGCCTTTTAACATTGAACTTAAGTTTAAAAACTGAGACAACGTGGACTGAAGAAGTAATGCTTTATAAGATTCAAAGAAAACAAGCAACTATGTGACATCATTTCGAGCAGAAAACATGAGCACACGTAGATCAGGCAAGGAAAAAGTTGTAATAGTTTACAGCACGGCATTGAAATAATGGTTACAATGTGCATACATGGTTACAATATGCAGCGCATTATCCTCTTGAGGGTAAACCATCTGAAACCCACACGCTCATAACAATACGTTGAACCGACAGCTGCTTTCTGACAATTAGGTAAGCATCGCCTGAGCTGGGTACTCGAAGGGAAAGACCCATGGTTCCACAGGGGGAGTGTCTGGTTCACGCAGACATACAGGGTGTTTTTGTTTTATTCTTTACAGAACTTTACATATTTTACAAAATAAGGATGTGGCAGATATGTGGATGCCGTCTTTTGCTATATCTGTAGTGCTCGGTGGACAATAAATGGGTGAATAACCGTTGCAATGTTTAATAATTATCCAAAATATGTTAGTTAACTTGTTTATTAAGGCTAAATTGGCCATGGTACAATTGCAGTTTTAAAAAGAGTCATTATTAAAGGTAAACACAATTTCGACGATGCGCGAAAAGGCAACGAGGTTCGCGAAATTTATCGTAAAAGTTTGCCTTTATTCGCTTGATTCAGAAACCGCGTTATGAAAATAATACGTAGAATAGTAACTTAGTCGTCTTGATGTGTGGCGCCGGCGGCGGTATTTCGGCACTACCCTTATGCGTTCACCATCCGCAAAATCAGAACACAAGGTTCAAAGCATATTACGATCGAACACACGGAACTATGAAATCGTGGTCCCGACACGCGCACCGCTCAAAGTGAAAAAAAAAAAAAAAAGAAAAGGCGGGCTGCGCGATTTTTTTCGGATAACTCGACTACAGCGCCGCCACGAACTGTCAATACGCGCGCCCTCACGAGCTCCCGTTGCCGAGCCACTCCGGTCCCAACACTACCGAAGTATTCTAGTACACTGTAGTTTTATGCCTCCTTCACTCGGTTAGATTTTACTTACAATACGCAAATGCAACGTCGCTCGTGCTGCAAAAAAAAAAAAAGAAAAAGGCACGGTGGAGGTTACGGTGTTCGACTTTGCAGCTGCAAAATCGCCAGCAAGATCATACCACGCGAATCTAGCTTTAGTTCTAAAAGTAAGAAAAAAAGAAAAGCAAGAACCATGACGCCTATCGCATGATTAAGATGGCTTTGACGCGTCCTTAACCCATTCGGAAAACGTCCTCGGAGCCGCGTCCTTGTTGTTTCGCGACCTGCTGTCTGCCATTTGTCCGCAATGGCGCGTGTACAGTCGCAACCTATATGAAGGTGAAACACGCGATCGTCGATCGTTGTCTGCTGTGTACTGGCAGCGTCAGGCAGCAGCGGCCATGACGCGCCCTGTGTGCACGCAAGCTGCCACGGCCACCGCTTCATGACGCTGCTATCGTATGGTCTAAAAGTTTGGCCTCAAAGTATCGCAGGAAGCTACCGTCACTTTCTCAGGAGGTAAT